TATTTTGACGTCGTGGTACTCTGACAGGTCTTGGAGGAGCCGCAAATCATTAGCAGGAGCGGAGGATGGAACGGAGGCCGTGAACCATGCACTGACATACACCTCTAGCACAAAGAATGTGAATCGTTTCAAGCCTAATGTCTCACGAGCAGTTAGTTTAAACTGATTAGCAAAAATCAGGATCTTCATGACATAAATGAGCTTAGCCATCCACCGTGCTCGGTGAAGTGCTCCGGGCCGTCGGAGATTAAACTTGGGTAGAGCTCCATCGAGACACCTGATTGCTAGCTCCAGTACCTCACGGTAATCATCACGTGGCTGCTGCTTCTTGCCCAGATGATGTTTCCAGCAACAGATGAGGTCATCTCGTTTCTCGTACAAACTTGGAGGGAGGTCTGAGAGAGGGCTGTAGTCATCTTGACTGATGTCCTTCCACTTATGCTTGAAGCGAGAGAAGAGAGTATTATCTGGTCCAGAGGAAGGCCCCATGCATTCCACATACGCTTTCTCGGCAACAAGCTCAAGGATGTGGTGACGACACGCGAGATGCAGAAGACGGCGGCCGAGTTTCTGCTCCAGAATGACACATGCCCCCGACAAGTGCCCAGTGTTTGAAGCTGTTGTGTCAAAACTGAGTGCTGAAACATTCTCTGATATTTTCCACTCTTCCAGCGCTGCACTGACTGCTGTAGCAATGGCCTGTCCAGTCCCTGACAATAGTTTCGGGACACCAAGCAGCTTTTCAGTATTGATTCCGGAGACAAGAATGGCGATTCGGTCAACACTCGCTCCTTGTTCATCAGGAATAATTTTTCCATCCCAGTGCACAGTGAGCACTTCACTAGGTTGAAATTTTTCTTTAATTTCGTTGGCAATCCCAGAACGGTGGGTCGCTCGCGAAGTACGCACTGTCTCATAGTTTAAAACTAGTTCCATTGGGTCATGACCTAGACTAGCAGCCGTGGCACTGACGATCCGGAGAGCAGAGCGGTGACTGATCCCAGTGCGGTCCAATGTACTTGACAATTCAGGGGTGATAACTTTGAGAGTAGCACGTTTACGATTGGAAGAAGATACCACTGGTGATATCGCTAGGGAACTTGTAGATGATGACGAGCTTGATTGTGATTCTGTTTCAGACGAAGAACCCAACTCATCATATTCAAGAGCAGAACTGGCTTGATTCTGTTGTAGAGATTGCTTACTCTTGCTTTCTTCCCGACACTTGATGGAACAAGCAATCTTTTTGTCTACTCCTGCATTACACCTCTTCTCCCTTTTTCTCGTTGCGCTGCCAGGAATGCTCGGTCTTCTTTGATGGTCAAGAGCTGCATTGCCTTGGGGTGGGCAACATCGAAGAGGTCCTCTAACTCATCACAAAAAGTTTCCTCTTTCTTACGTTGTGTGTCTGTAGTGCGAGTGCAGTTTTTCTTAAGTCCCTTCCACATTAAAAAAAGATCCACTACCTTTCGTCCAATACTCTTCTCAGTTACGGTAGGAATCCGTGCTTTATTCCAGAAACTAATAACCGATGCTGCAACTTCACTCGCAGAATCATTCACTGTTTTCTTATGTTCATTGTGACCGTGGAAAAACAGACGTAGAACATCTCCTCTTGAAGGAAGTTGTGCACCCGTGATTTCGGTTATGTGTTGACCAATGAGCCAAACTTCAGTTTTTGAACGTGTACTCTCCATTGAACCTGAAACAAACAAAAACATTTATGTAACTTATATTGTTACTGTTATGCAAACAACAGCACCCATAAAGCATACGGCATGCAAGATCACTTGTATAAAGTTTTTAAAGTGTTATATACCTAAATTGATGCATTGATTTTAGACAAAGACAATGGTACTAACCGTAATACTGCAACAAGAGCGACGCACACACACCCACCGTCACGTCTCACACACAACTGATGCTACTGTACCAGTCAGACACTGGCACACAACCTCTTCCCCCTACCCCGACTGACACCCGCCTCTCCCTCCCCTCTGCATTGCCAATAGCTGCACCAGCCAAAATACTCATTACTCATTTTTAGAAAAAATGTTAGGAACAACTTTAGTTTGAATTTGCATTCTACATATACCTGCAAAGTTTCATAGTAATCGGTTCATAAATAAAGAAATTAGAAAAAATCAATAATAATTTCAGTAGTGTTAACTTCCAATGGCTTGAGCCACCTCTAAATATTGTCCAAATGACCCAGGATTTCGCCTGTGTTCTTTTTTCATGGGTACGCAGTATTGGACAAATGGCCATCTAAAAATAAAAACTTTCACTTTTTATTGTCACCCTAGGCTCCACCTCAGATTTTCTTTCGGGGTTTACTCCCGTACCCTTATACCTGCCTAGGTTAATCTGCAAGGCAACAGGGCAGTGGTTGATAGGCGCCAGGACGTGTCCACATGCCAGTGGGCCTATGCGCCGTCCCTCTGGGACTCGCTGCTTCTCCGAGATCCCCTGCTGATCTAGCCTGGGCCCACAGGGCACCCAGTTACCGTGTGTTGCCACAGGGAGGCACAGCAGGAGTCTTGATGGTGAGGAGGCTGTGTACTGGCAGGGGAAGACTGATGCAATATGCTTCCCTGTTCGCCACGAGGGCTAGCCAGCGGCGGCAGCTGAAAGCGAGAGGGAGCAAGCAGTGCTTGCACCTTAGCAATATCATAATGCTGCCACTCTAGACGCATTTCACCACCCTGTGTGTGGCTGCACACACACACACACACCCCCACCCACCTATCTCTCTCTTTTACACACACCCATCTCTCTCTCTCTCTCTCTCTCTCTCTCTCTCTCTCTCTCTCTCTCTCTCTCTCCACACACACACACACACACACACACACACACAAGGGGATTCCTGGGGGTCTGGACCCCTCCTTTTCACCAGAAAATTCCAATACTTTTCTTTAATACATTATTGTACTCAGGCATTTTTGTATAATAAGAACTAATTACTATTGACTTCAGAATATCTCCTAATATCAAGTGCACATGGCTTCAAAATGCCCATAATATTGGTCCATTTAAAAAAATACTAATAATTCTAGGGGGCTTACAGCCCCCCGAAAAAATGGGTGGGCTCGCTGTGCGCGCCAGGTTCCCCCCACCCAAACTTCTTAGACCCCCTTTTGATATTCCTGGATCTGCCCCTGACACACACACACCCCCCTATCACCCAGCATCGTGTCTACCACCATTACCTCGGCTCTTAAGATAGGTAGTGACCACCACCTTTGATGAGCCGCCTGCCAGTCCTCGCTAATCTTCCGAGATACAGTGTGACGTCACTTACTGTCTACATGCCTTCATTTTGTTTACTTCTCGTGTATTAGTGTCACCCATTGTGCTTCATACGTTGGGGTTATGTTCACAGCTAATACTTCCAGCAACTCCAGCTAATGATTTCAAAGTTATGCGAAAACAGACGGTCTCCTCCCTGTCTGGGGTACATTTCCTTCAGAATTATCCTGTGATATATGTTAACGAGTTACTGCCCCCTAAGGAGTGACACATCATTGGTAGTGTTTCTTTACTTTACACACGACCTGTAAATAGTTGCAAAGATCTACACCCAGCATTGAAAAGTGTCATATACATCTGAACTTCCTCGTGTATGCCAGAACATTCAGCATTTTTTCATGCTATATAATACTGGGAATGTAATACTTTAATTATCCTAATGCAGGGAATAGTTATCCTAGTTTACAAATAAAGGAAGCCTTGTGTTGCAGTCGACCTCCAACTTATTCGATTTACTTTTGTTATCCAGTTTTTCATCACCTGTTACCAGTCGGGAAAATAACAGTAGACTATCCCCTGGAGATAGAGTCAACACTGAGACAGGTGCACGGACTCCTCCAGGTCGTTTGCTGGACTTTTCTTCAATTTTTTTTTTTTTTTACACAACATAATATATCTTATTAAATTTAAGAATATTTTATTTCTGTATATATCAGGAAATAATCATGTTGGTGGTGGAGTGTCATTATTTTGTCACGGTGACCTTAAGTCGTTGGCGCTGTACCCTCTTGTGCCCCTGACAAATTGTTTCCTTAAAAAATAGCAACAGAAGACATTTGGTCAAAGGTTAAAGCTTGACCTAAAGCTTGACCCTCTGACCTCTTGACAGCTGAGAGGGTTAAGCCTGTTGAAGGTCAGGTCGTTGGCCTTTGTAAACAAAACACTTTGTGGTGGATAAAGTGGAGAACTGTTTATTATGTGTACGTCATACAGATGTTTGCCAATGTTGCTTGATTAATTTATTTTCAAATTCTTCCGAGACAGATAGCTTAACGCTGCATGTTGGATAATGGGAAACCTAGCTGGGAAGGACTTCAGGTGAAATCCTGTGCGAGATGATTATGTATGAAGTTTATGGTATTTTAGGCGTTCATTAGAATAAAAGAATTTAATGCATTTATAATCATATAGGGTAACTTTGTTTCTGTCGCCACGTGGACAAATCTGTGGTTTGCTGCATGTGTAATTATATTATTGTGTTAACGAAAAAAAATCTTGATTCAGATTCTGGTTTATCTTGATATTGTGTTAAGTGTTGACTTAGATGGTGTGGGTGACAGCGATAACAACAGGTAAAGGAAGAGATTAGGGTAGAAAGAATATTACAGTATAGCCATGTAAGTTTTTGCCTCAAGGACCGCACCACAGACGCCATACATACACCTCTCCGTATGTGTTAGCAACCCGTTAAGAAATCATAAATTAATACTAATGTATTTTTTGAAGGTAAAGAAAAAAATAATAATGCATTTTTTTCATAAAATTAATATTTAAAGTAATCTTAGTGTATGCACCAGGAATTACTGGGTGAACAAGTGAAAAGCCGTGAACATTTTACAAAGTGAGTTGTAGTACATCACACAGCAAGCAGTTGGAGTTTATGGGTGGACTGGGGTGGGTAAGGGGGGTGGGGCTCTATGCTGCCTGACTGCTGCTCCAACGCCTCCTCTCTCTCACTTTCTTTCTCTCAGGTACCTGTATAAGAACCGGATACGGGTTATTGAGAGGCAGGTGTTCCAAGAGCTCGACAAATTGGAACAACTGTGAGTAACCACTAACGTTTTCTTCTTGTTTTTATTCTGTCTAATTACTGAACACTCCTCCAGTCATAATTATGTACCGTACACATATTAAACTTTAAAGGTTAATGACATGTTCATGAATGTAATGAATTCATATATATATATTTAATAATAATATGATCTCACGAGGATTTTTTTTCATATGTTAATCTAAAGCCAACACCAAACAATGTTAACATGGCATCTACTGCCTTCTCTGTTGCCTCTTACTAAAAGCACTTCACTTTCATCTATGTTACCAGGAGAAGTAGTGTGTTACCGTAACTTGGTTTGAGTCACCTCGGTGTACTGTTGTGGTTAACAAGTCTGCTCCAGGAGTAACACCTAGACATGTTTCACTCTTAATGTTGGATTTTTAACACGACTTTTTAAAGGTGTCATAACTTCTTTTCAGGTTATTTATGGATGATTTTTCACCCGAACTCATTGTTATTTCCGGGATATTGCCATCATTCCTTAGTGTTTGGCTGCATGATATGGTTACCTGCTGACTGAACAGTTTGACCATGCAGTATATAACGAAAGGACTGTTATTGCATGTAAATACTTCCCACATTTTAAAATCCAATTTGATCACTAAACCCACACCATTTACCCTACTAAGGAGAGAACGGGTAATCTGAGAGGTACCCGCAGGCAGCACACGACGGAGTACAGTATACTGTATTATTCTGTAAAAGCTGGCTGAGTACCCATCCTCGCTCTCCACCACTCTTGGATCAGACCCCCCACTTACCTCACCTACAGCCCGCCACAGTGCCAAACACTCAGCAGCTTGGCTGCACATCCCAAGACTCCCATTAAAAAAACAAAAAAACAATAATCACCATGAACAGAATTTTTTTAAGTTAAGAAATATTGACACACACACACACACACACCCACACCCGCAGCACGTCACCCAGCTCGTGCACTCCAACTCCAACCACTCAACTGCTCCTGTTCTATGCTTCCTCACTCATACAACAACCAACATTACATTATATATACGGACGCCTTTTATTAACACATTAGAAGATTATATCGTTCCTTTTGTACATTTTAATAATGTCCAAATAAGCAACCTCGTGTGGTGAAGGAGTAAGAAATGACTTCTTGACATTCGTGGCCGCTTTACTGTGCCCCGTTGAGTACCTGCACCTGCAGCACACACATATTTTCATAATACAGTAATGCACCAGATAACTTTTCTTTTGTTGATGTTCAAAGTTCTTAGTTACTACATGTTTTGTAGTATTTTCATGGACATATTTTAAACTTTAAAACTATTTAGTCTATAGACACCGTCCCGGCACTGTACATGGACGATATACTCTTGGAGATGTTGCTGTCTAGTATAGTGAGACATGCCCAGTGCTTCCCTTTCTTGTTCCCACGTACTGTACTGTACTTTACAAGACACATGTGTTGACTATCACGGCCGCACGTCCACCAACTACACACATCACCTCACCCTGCACACTCCCTCGTCATTCCAGGTACCTACATTTCAACGACCTTGCAACATTCGAGGCCGACACCTTCTCCAATTTGACCAACCTAGAGCGGCTGTAAGTATGTTGTACCTAAGGAAATGTTAATAATAAGAACGAGAATGCTCTCCTGTTCTGCCACCTGACACAAACAGCTCGGCTTGAGTGTGTTATGTGTGTTTGGGGCGTGGGTGCTGCTGTAGAAATTGACCAGGATTTAGTTAAGAGGAGCAAATGTTGTGTGAGGTGGCAGTCAGGCCTGGGACTAGGCTTAAGTTGTCAGCTGGGGTGGGTGGTCGGCCTAATGTGTGTCCGCCTGTTTTACAGATACCTTCATTTCAACAAGATTGAAAATTTAGGACCCGATGTATTCTCCAACTTGAATAGGTTACACAGGCTGTAAGTAATGACGAGTAGCGGGAGTTATGGATGACTTACTAGCACGCTACATATTCCAGTTTTCTAATTTCCTTATTTGGAATGACCCCAGTACAGTATTTTTCTCCTAGAGCACAAGTAGCGGTTTGTACATAGCCTTTTCCCTTGGTTATTTAAGGTCTTATGTAAAATTTAACCTTACCTCTTTATGGTCTATTTTTTCTGCATGGTGTGGAAACTGGAGTCACGGGTCCTATAATAACAGGGATTGGGTACACTAAAATAAATAATTATAGAAGCGTTAAACAAAATAAAATTACATGAACCACAGCTGAATGCAAAGTTTAACATTCTAAAGACAGTTTATGCATTCATATCTACTTAATATACTTTAAATGATACAATGTTTTCAACTGTGGAAATAGCTCTACCGAGAAATTAGAGGTTGTGGCAAAAGTCGTTCCAAAGTAGAGTGCATTGACATCACCTTTTATACCAAGAAGATAATTTGTCTTTAATGCTTCTCCATCATCAGGGTGGTTACTGGGGGCCTTGTCATAATTGGCCCATTTCCTGAAGATTTATCACTGCGGGATGTTAACAAGTCTCTTTATGACTACATATAGAGGAGTCCTTGAGGAAGTTGCACACCCAAAAAACGTCCTTATGTACTCCATTTTTTTTTTGCACCCAACTCTTTTCTTCGCCATGTTAGTACAGTACTGTAGTGACATTTTCCTTAGGCAAGAGGAATTCGAAGTAGCACATCACGAGTACTTTACAATTCCACCTGGGTGTTTGTCACACAGTCGTGGTGAAGAATGCAGTTATGTTCAAGAATTGATAGCGTACATCCTTGAGTACTGGACATGAAACTTCCTCGTGACTGTAAACACAAATCACTGTAGATGATTTAGGCATTATTCCTTCACTTTTTCGTGTTGTATCACATCCAAATCTAAGATTGATGAAACTTGCAAAATAAGTACCAGTTCTTGTGGTGGAGAAGATGTAAAGTTGAACAAATAAGATATAACTAAACCATGTGTGTGTGTATCGCTTGATCCTTGACACAGTACAGTACAGTTTTATGCACTCGGACACTGGGGGGACGGACTTAATAAAGCCATGATTTAGAAAGTAGATCGATCGTAAATTTTTCTAATTTATTGCTTCGCCTAAATATATAGCCAGTTCCTACTTGTAGCTGCAAAGTTAAATATTATATTCATTAAAGGACTGTCTAATGCTGAAATTATAACCATAACAGTAGTTAGGTTACATAAGGGCACTAACGAGCTGTAAGTTTTTCTGTGACGAACTACTGATAATACACCAGAAGTTGCCAGAATTGGATTTAATAAGAATGTGTTATGAGTTCCTCCATACCTTACCTTATGTGGACAACACGGGAGTGTCATCAACACCCGCAGCCCTACAGTGTTAAATGACTGCCAAGAACAGGACCACTATGCCATTAACTTTTCAGATAACACAAAACAACTGGACCTAATGCCAATGATCCCAGTTGTGGGTTTGGTTACATTAGGTTTCATTGTTTCGTGTGGTCTGTTTCAAAAGAAATAATCCTGTTCATGGTAGTTATTTACTTATTTAATATTAGCCAGTTTGCTACAGCCTCAGGGACAGCTAGAGCTTTCTCGGGGTTTATCTATAGACTTTAAGACTTTAAGGTGTATCTTTTGTTATTGGTATCGGATACAAGAGTACTTATAATAGTAGTTCTTTCTTATTGTAATGCATGCTTAGTAATCTAGACAACTTAACTATGTAAATAGTATATAAATACGTATGTTCAAATTTAGTTTGCATATAAATATCTCAATTTTGACTGATTAATTTTTCAATGAATGCTAAATGATTAGTTGCAGTATGAAATTATGTTTTATAATGTTTGTTGCATAATGCCAGTTAGGTTAGTTTTATTCAGATCAAAGGAGGTAGGATTGTCATGCCAGACCTCACATATTGCGTCTGATGTTTTTTTTTGTTTTTTGTTTTAATGTATGACATTTGGCAAAACTGTAAGGCAGCAAAACATGCCACATATAGCAATTTAACAGTCATTGAAAATATCCCGGTAGCAATTATTATTGACGTAATCACAATATGGTAGTTGATAAGTTGACAAATACAGAAATACTGAATAATTTTTTTTGGGGGGCACATCATATGTAGATGAATCAACATATGCCATGAAACAACATTCACGTTGTATGATACTATCAACGGTGACCCCACAGTTTTATTAATTACTGTACTACATGTTAAGCATATCCTAAAATATTGGTTGAATGCCATTGTCTAGTCAAAGTTATCCCGTGTAGCATCTGGCAAAATATGGAACATCCTCAGAAATTTTAATAGATGAAATGGCACATGTCAGGTACAGTGTGGTGTGTTTTGTTCCATTGGTTCGTCTAGAGGAGATGTTCCCCAAGCATTTTCCAGTGCAATCCCGTCTAGTACTGTCGCCTATCCAGTGTGACCCCAAGTCATTACATAAGCTATATATATATATGAGGATCCTTAGAGTAAATACGGACATATTGATATACGTATTTGACTATAAAAACAAGTAAGGAAAATGTATAACATAATTTAGAAGTCTTAAAGTAAACACTGGCAGAAACAGGCTACAACTCTGTCATATTTAATATGTGACATTATATGACCATTTAACGTTCTATACGTGGGGATGTGATTACATGGTTAAGCAACGTAACATACAATTTTCTAGTTACATCTTTGTCATACTGTACGTATTTCGTATGTGACTTGTGTGCATCATCATATAATTAATTTTCATTACAAGTTACATTAGTCATAAGTCATACGTAACATTTGTGCATTATTATTTAATAAGTTTTTTGTTAACTGGGGGTATATGTGGTTAAACAACATAGCACAAAATTTTCTAAGTTTAAGTTTGATATACAGTTACGGTAATTTTTTTTTTTTTTTTTTTATTGGGCACTCCCCTACATCCTTGTGCAAGGTGAAGCGCAGAAGCGTTTACAGCGCCCAACTGGGAAGCATACTAAGTTCATGCTTGCCTTTATGTCTCATGAGTTAAGGTCGTAGAAGCCTGAAGAGTCAGTGGTTTATGTCATCAAGTTATTGGAAGCTCCTACAACTTTCCTTGAATACAAATTTGCAAATTTCGACTTACACCAGGTACCTACTTTACTGCTAGGTGAACAGGAACTAATGGGGGCTAGGAAGTAAGTCCAAACAACTTCCACCGGCCCGGGAATCGAACCCGTGACATCTCGCTTGCGAGGCAAGAACGGTACCGCTTCTACCACCGGTCCTCCAGTTACGGTAATAATGTTTTATTAACACTATTGAGCAGGAAAGCTGCCTCACAGACAGAGGAGCTTCCAAATTGTATCAGAATCTTGATAGATTGATTTTTTTTACCGCTGGTTGTCAATTTGATAAATAACCCAACACATTGATATGTCATCATACTGTACATGGCAAAATTCATCCTTGCCTCATTGTCAGCCTGTAATTATGCTATTTCGAGGACAAAAGAGACACTGTTTTACAACTGTCTTGAACAGAAACTGAACAAAATCCAAAGACTCGGTAAGCAACTCAGGGAATCTATCATTGAAACTTGCTGCCATTTTTTTGTTGCGCGTAACGTATTATCAGCGTTCGCCTTCCCTGGGCTGACTTGGCTTGACACAAGGAGAGTAACTGCATTATTCCCTTGACCATAATTTATTGTCCCGACGTAACGAGAGAGCACTTGGGCCACGTTCTTCAGTCTCTGACACCTAGACTATGGGACCCCATGACCTGTATGTGACCCCTTATGATGCATCTTGCGATTTGCGATCCCGTGTTTGGGAACCACTGGTTCTAGAATTCTTGTTCGAAATGTCAAACGCTAGGTGTAGATTGACCAGTATGTCCGGAAAGAACTCATTATTATTATTAAATAAATACAAAGGAATTCTTTCTGGACTTTTGAGGAAATGTCAGATTTTTTTCGTCTTTACTGGTCAATTTTATCCAAGGAATTTTGTCATTCACGCAAAATAATCCAATAACCTTGGTGGCCTTCATTCGTTCTTGAATAAATGTATAACAGTCTCCACGAGTGATCCTCAGTGCTGTGGTGAAGCTGTACTTATATTGTACCAATCGGTAATCTTTTTCTCAACTTAGGCAATATTACACACCTTATTTATGTTTAAAAAGCTGGAGCTTATAAACTGATGCACATTTGTGTAAATAAATGAGATTTTAATTGTGAAGAAGGTAGTGCACGACAACCTCACAAACAGTATCTGAGGTATCAACCTTTTACAATATCACACTAAGGCCCTGCTGGAGACCTGTCGTCCACCTCGGTTTGTTACCACCTTACATGTAGTTATGGTGATTACGGGGCCAGGGATAAGCAAAGGCCGTTCAGGTGGTGCGGATTTCCGGTGATGGGGATAGTGAAGGTGAGGATAGGCCCACGAGCGCTTGCAGGTACAGTACTCATAAATCCTCAAATATCTATTCCATGACACACTGTGAAGAATCCAAAGAAAATTGTACCCACGAATATTATTATTATTATTATTATTATTATTTAGAATCCCAAAGGCTATCCAAAACACCTACTGTATACTTAATATTCCCTGAATAATGACCTGACCAGCACCACAGTTGCGTTATCAAGGAAACGGCAAAAACTATTGACTTTTGGAATTCTTATTCTAGAACATTTCTTACTTAGTACACTTGTGATTAATGAATCAGGTGTCGTAACTGCAAAAAACCGCATTGGTATTTACTTTGTAAACAGAAAATAAGCCATGGTCTCTAAGCTTTCAATATTTTGGCGATCTGAGAAAAAATTTATCAGATTTTAGCAGGCAGGGAGTCTTTCCAAACTTGAGCATAGGTTGCTTGGGGGGTTCATTTTTGTCATTTGGCCAAAGGTGTGGATACCACAGCTAACTTGCCGTATTTTAAGTAAATACTGTGCATAGTAGTTTTTAACTTGCTCCACCATCGAATGTGTATTCTTTGCATTAAGACACGTTTTAGGGAAAATCTCGCATAAACCATCATTAAGGGCATAAAATTAAACTCAAAATCCGTATAGATTTTAATTTTTTATGACTTCCCTTTCTTGTCCATTTGATAATTACTCGTTCGAATATATTGAACCATCCACCTTGAGTGATGACCGGAGTCCTTAATGGCCAGGTGTTGGCGTTAATGAAAAGGAATCTGTGCTAACACCAGATAACTGCTTCATCGACGACTCCTTGACAACCAAGAGTTTTATCAGTAACTCCTGGATATGTATACAGTAATTAATAACATTCCAATCTGGAATAAACAAAGTACAATAGTTGATCACCAGCACGTGACGTGGCAAGGTATTTTATCACTGGATCTTGGTGAGTCTTGGGTCAAACGTTTTCGGTTATTGTATTAAACACTTGAGTTCTGGATGATGTAGGTGTAGAAACAAAGAACTGGACATAGACAAAGGACTATGAAGGAGGTTGTAGGTAGTGACTGATGTACATACATGTGTGGCCAGGACTCACCATTCTCACTTACAGGTTCCTGCACAACAACCGCCTCCAGAGGGTGCCCAAAGGTGCTTTCTCCAACCTCCACTCCCTCAGACGACTGTGAGTCCTACTTCAAACATTATCAGGTGTTATAATAATGCTTCATATATTTATTAAAATGTGAGGTGTTATAAGAATGCTTCATATCATGTTTACCTAAATGAGTTGTTATAAGAATGCTTTATATCATGTTTACTAAAAATGAGGTATTATAAGAATGCTTCATAATTATGTTTACTAAAATGAGGGGTTATAAGAATCCTTAATATGTTAAGTTTTATAATTAGTAGGTGTTATAAGACTTCTTTGTTTGTTTGAAACTAGCAGGTGTTGTAAGAATGCTACGTGTGTGTAAAGGAGTTAAGTGGTATAGGAAAGCATCGTGTCTCCTCTACATCTTGGCCTTTTTTTTTTACAGTGTAAATGCCTTTATATAAATAAAAAAAATAACAGTGGATATTTTGCTGTGACTAGTTAACTTCCTACTAACGCTATTTTACAGTGAGTGTGCCCTGATTGGCTAATCTTCCATTACTGGCAAACAAAACGGCAAAATATCCACTGCGTTCATTTGGAGTATTTTAACCGTTAAAATTACCCACAAATTAGTTGTTCAAGGTGGGCAGGGCTTTGAAGTTGAGGGAAAATGTGGGGGTAAAATACCAAAAAAGAATGTAGATTTTCACTTGCTACTATACGAAATACAAGTTGAAGCTGTTTTTCAGGTGGTTTTTGATATGTTATGAACGAATTTGACCTTCATTTCTGGCACAAATCAATAGTTTCTGAGATAGCCCTTCCCCCTCCCATCTCAAAATTGAGAGATTTGCAATAAAAATTAAAGTTAAAAGGGTTCATAACACATCGAAAACCATCTTAAAACAGTATTTAACTTAAATTAATTAACTTAACCTAACTGGTGGAGCTCCACAGTCGTTCAATGTTCTGGGTGTGTACCGCCACGTATGAACATACATAATAAAAGGTTAAATATCTTACTTAAACGTAATTTGCACCAGAAATACCATTGAAGAAAAGTGCCTTGGAATTGTCAAAACTACTGATTGTAACTGTAAAATTTTTGAGATTCGTTCAGTGGTAACAAGTGAAATAATACAATACCAAAAAGAACACCAAGCAAACAAACCTTTGAAAACCATACCTAACATTTCATAACTTGTAAAATTGTTAAGAATCACTTTTGAGTTCATGGAACCACCCTCATCTGAGCACCGAAAACGACACCAACACAAATTAAAACCGAAAACACCATCACCTACTAAACACCGAAAACATAAGGCATTTTTTTTTAGTTTTAGGATTTTTAAAGGTGAGGAAATGTTTGGCAGGTTTTCAAAAGTCATACGAAAATACATCCCACCGCTGCCACCATTTGTAAGAGGGGAAATTTTTTATGTTTGGTTTTGTCACTTTATTTTATTTCTGCAACCTTCTTGGTTATACCTCTCTCATTTTCTTTATTTTCTAATTCATTTTCTCAAAGTACTTAATATATTTTTTTAGTGTCTCATACTTAATTGTTCATTTCCTCTTATTTACTTTTAGTCTCCAATGTAGTTATATTCTGTTTTGTGAATTAACCTGGGAGAACCACATCCTTGTCTATTATATTACACACTTGTAATTACTGTACTTACATTTTAGAGCTGCCACCACCCAGGCTTTATCTTTAGAATACAACATCTATATTGAACCTCTCATTTAAATTGGTAGTGTGGTGCACATGAATTATCAAGTGTATTTTCAGGGATGGCAATTGTTAGAAGGAATAAATGGTGATACACACATTATACTGAATCATTATTTATTAGATGCAAATCTAAATATGATAACACTTTGAACCTTCACTTACAACGACAAAACTTAGGTTCAGTTACTGATTACTGTAACACTTAGCAAAATATAACTGACCAATAGGTAGTACTCGATAAGCAGGGGCGATTCTACGGGGCCATGGCCCCCCCAAATTTTGGGCTCCCCCCCCCCCACTTTTTATTCTCAAAATTGTAATTCCAAAAACATTCCCAAAACCAGGAAGTGAGTCAAGTGACTCAGGCAATGGGCGCACCGCACGCCAGGTGCAGGCATGGGTGAGGTGAGATCACTGAGGTGAGGTGAGGGCAGGAATTGGGAGGGTGCAGATATGCAGGGTGGGGTCACATCACAGTGTATATAAACAAACTGCCTTGTGCAAATAGATGCAGAATTTGTCTGCTTATTGCAGTTTATCTCAGAGATTCTTAGAAAAGTTGATAAAGTATCACGGCAGTTACAGGACAAGCAAGCAGACTTAGGAAAAGCAGCAATGCTCATTTCGTTGCTCCGTGAAGATCTAGCTGATAAACGCCACTGTAACTTGATTGAGCATTACTCCGAGAAGATTGATGAGCTCTGTGAGAAATGCAGCATTTCACCAACAAAGACACGAAAGCGAACCAGAAAATCTCGACAGAATGATGAATTCATTGTGCTGGAAACGACAGTTCAAAGATCTGACGTGAGTCATGTGCACATTAGCATCTTCTATGAAGCCCTAGACTGTTTGATTAGTGAATTAGACAGGCGTTTCTCCAATGATTCCTGTGCAATTTTCTGTGGGATTTCAGCTCTTTGTCCAGAAGGACAGACATTCTTGTCTGAAGAAGATTTGAAGGCATTTGCAGTTACATACTCAGTCAATCAAAGTTTGGCAGCCGGCATAATAATCATAGGATTAAACTGCACTGAATATACTGCTACCGTCACAGTACCGTGTGAACTGAAACCGCACCATTGCCATTTGCCATTGGTTATAATGTAACAGTTGCATTACTTTATTTTTATTCTGTTTCTTCTCATAGATGTATTCAAGGACTAGCATTTTATCCTTTGATGTATTTATCTTTACATATGTGCTCAATTTTATGGAAACTATGTACGTAACGTTTTGATTTGAAAGTAGACATAAGATCATAGTTGGTTTATTATTATTATTATTATTATTATTATTATTATTATTATTATTATTATTATTATTATTATTATTATTATTATTATTATTATTATTATTATTTTAAATACCCTTTGCAGGCGGTTGGACTCGAATGCATTGGTGTGTGACTGCCAGCTGATGTGGCTGGCCCAGATGGTGAAGGAAAAACAACACACCACACAGGTCGCCGCCACCTGCCAGTTCCCCTCTGTCCTCCAGGGCAAGAGTCTCACTTCTCTCAACGACTCAGAGTTCCAGTGCCGCGGTGAGCCATTCTAAGTCCTGGGATTCTGTGGTTAATTAAAGAGAATGGAGAAAGTGTTGTGAAGGGATGTGGGGTATGATATGGCCATATAGGGTCAATTTATAGTAGAGGACATAATTAAAAAAATGGGGGGGGGTAATTTCTGAGAACAGCACTACCACCACCAGGAGTTGTTCGATTTCGTTCATTTTTCCACAGATGTTCTCGTCATTATACTAAGTATTTTAAAAGATGCAAAAAAAATTATTTGTATTTTTTTCTTTTTTTAGTTTTTATTTATGATTATAAATCTCCTGTAGTGGGCAGGGAATTAAGGATGAGGAAAATTGCAGAGTAAAGCACAGTGAAAAACTGATCATATAAATATGACATTAAAATAATGTCTATGTACAGTACTTTGTGGGACTGCGAAAATTCTGCTGAGTCACTGTGTGTCGTTTGTTTGTTACAACCAACCAGCTTGGTCCAAGCGTACTGTACTGTACTGTACTGTACTGTACTGTACTGTACTGTCACGTCCACAAAGTTGCTTTCATTAGTACCAGATATCAAAATACAGTAAGTACTTGATGTTTAATATGGCGGGGGGTCTGCCCCTGGCAAGGAAGTTAGGTCATACAGAAAACTCAGATCAAACAACAATGACCCTAAATAGATAAATAAATATTTAAAGAATATTATTGGACAAACGAAGGCTATAGGTAGGAGAATAAATCGTGGTGAAGCTTACCTCTGAGATTGGCCGGCAGGGTTAAGACCGAGATAAGAAAAGCAAAGAGGAATAATGAACTGAAGGTAGCAAGGGAAGGCGAAGTCAAACCCCAAGGGATTCTATCAAATGTATCAAACTAAAACACGAGAAAAGATTGGACGAATACGGTCAGATATCGGCGAGCTAACTGATAATGACGGAGAAATGAGCAATAATCTGAATAAATATTTTTCAACAGTTTTCACCACCGAAAATTTAAACATGATACCCGAGGTACCGACTCTATGCAGAGATAGTGAAGAAAATAAATTAAGCGAGTTAGTAGTGACTAGTAACGATGTTAGTAAGCAAATAGACAAACTAAAGCCTAATAAGTCACCAGGTCCCGATGAGATATTTGCCAGAGTATTAAAAGAATGTAAGGAAGAGCTTAGTATGCCCTTAGCAAAGTTGTTTAGCATGTCCTTAAAAGCGGGTGTGGTACCAGAATCCTGGAGGATAGTGATTGTAATACCGATTTTCAAGAAGGGAGATCGATCACTATCCTCTAACCACCGTCCAATCAGTCTAACATCAATTGTAGGCAAATTACTGGAAGCAATCATTTCAAACTCTCTTTGAAATCACCTGGAGAAGCACAAGTTGATCAATGATTCCCAACATGGCTTCACAAGCAGGCGTTCATGTTTAGCTAATCTATTAACATTCTTTTCATGTGTTTTCGAATCAGTGGACGAGGGGCACAATTATGATGTGGTATATCTCGACCTTAGCAGAGCCTTCAACAGAGTCCCCCACGAAAGACTAATAAGAAAAGTGGAGGCTCATGGCATTAAAGGAGATATTCTAAAATTGATTTGGGCGTGGTTACAGGACAGGAAACAGCGAGTGAGCATTAACGGCACTAAATCCAATTGGAGCAACGTCACTAGTGGAGTTCCCCAAGGCTCAGTACCTGGACCATTATTATTTATTATATACATAAACGACATAGGTATTGGCATAGACAGCAACATAAGTAAATTTGCTGATGACACTAAAATAGGGCGTGTAATTAAATCTGACGAGGACTCCGCAAAATTACAGGAAGATCTAAAAAAAAATTTTGAATGGTCTGAGAAATGGCAGATGAAATTCAATGTGGTCATATGTAAAGTAATCAGTGTAGGAGATGTAAACAGGGAAACCAGATACCAGATGAACAACGATGTTATTGAGAAATCCGACTGCGAGAAAGATTTAGGAGTAATGATAAGTAGGAATCTTAAGTCAAGTAAAAGACTAATCTCGGGCATTAGGAACCTTGAGTGCAGAGACAGGTTAAAGCATCTTAATTTGCACTCCCTCGAGAGACATAGAGTGAGGGGCGATATGATAGAGGTGTATAAATTGAAGTCAGGGCTGAACAAAGGGGACATTACAAAGGTACTCAAACTCTCCAACCAGGAGCGAACTCGTAGCAATAGTTTTAAATTAGACAAATTTAGATTTACGCGCGAAATAGGTAAACGTTGGTTTGGAAATAGAGTAGTGGATGAGTGGAACAAGTTACCAAACAATCATCATTAATTCGAATACACTGGATAGCTTCAAGCATAGGTTTGATGGATATATGAGCAATAGGGGTTAGGTGTAAATGGGACTGCACAGGATGGGCCAGTAGGCCTGCTACAGTTTCCTCCATTCTTATGTTCTTATGTAAGCTTCTTTGGTTGGCTCTATTAGGTTCTAGTAAATGTTGCCTCTTTTAAAATACTTACTATAATGATAAAAACATCTGTGGAAAAAATGAACAAAATCAAACAACTCCTTCTCATGGTTCGCAGATATTACTGATATTTGTTTTGCTAATAATAAGTTCAGACAAAAACAAGATGGTTTTCATCTATGACACTTTTGGCGCTCTTTACTCATAACCAAAATATCATGAGTTGAAAATCAGAAAACTACTAGAAAAATTCTAAGCTATTATTGAAGTTGTTGCCACCAACCAAATCTCATGATTTTTTTTAATTGTAAACAATGGGTTTGACAGTTCTAAAAAACTTGTCTTCTATGAGGTTTCCGTCATAAACGACCTATAACTGAGATATTTAATATGCTGGGGGGCAAAGCCCCCCAGCATATTAAATAGACATATTAAATATCTCGGTTCTAGGTTGTTTGTGAGGGAAATATCATAGAAGAGAGGTGTCTTGAAATTGTCTAAACCATTGTTTGCAAGGAAAAAATCATGAGATTCAGTTTGTGGCAACAAATTCAATAATAGCTTAGAATTTTTCTAGTATGTATGTAGATATCGAATTGTCCTATGCTGTACCACATATAAATTGACCTGCTATACTGTAGTGTAGATTCTTACAACTGGTAATGTTAGGGATAGAGTAGGGTCTGAAGAGGCAAGGGTCAGGAGGGGCATGGTCAGGAGAGGCATGATCAGGAGAGGCATGGGTCAGGAGGGTGTGGTCAGGAGAGGCTTCGGTCAGGAGGGGCATGGTTCAGGAGAGGCATGGTCTGAAGAGGTATGGGTCAGGAGAGGCTTGGGTCAGGAGGGGCATGGTCAGGAGAGGCATGGGTCGGGAGAGGCATGGTTCAGGAGGGGCATGGTTGGGAGAGGCTTGGGTCAGGAGGGGCATGGCTCAGGAGGGGCATGGTCGGGAGAGGCTTGGGTCAGGAAGGACATGGGTCAGGAGAGGCAGAGATCAAGAAAGGCAAGAGTCATGAGGAGCATGGGTTGGGAGAGGTGGGAGGCAGGGGTCAGGAAAGGCATGAGTCAGGAGGGGCAGGGACCAGGGGAGGCATGGATCAGGAAAGGCATGGGTCAGGAGATGGAGGGGTCAAGAGGGGCAGGGGTTGGAACAGGTAGGGGTCAGGAGGGGCATGGGTTATGACAGGTATGGGTCAGGATAATAAGATAGACTTTTTCTCTAGTATGTTTAATATCTTGTGTTGTGTTGACACTCCAGGTAAACCACTGATCAAGGAGGGACCAGCAGACGTAGATGTCAAGTTTGGAGGAACAGCGTACTTCACCTGCAAGGTTGAGGGCAACCCCCAGCCTGAGGTTGTATGGTTCCACAAGTGAGTATTGCTCATTTGGCATTAATTGTGTTATTTATAATATCATTAATGAAATTACTCTCCTCTACTCTATTCTCTCATGTGACTTACTGTTGGATCACCAATTTTTCCCCTCATGTTTCCTATATAAGTGGATCTCGGCCTCATTTCACTTATATTGATTTCTCTTCGTTTTATTTTTACGTGTGCAGTATACTGTATCAATCTCGACTCGCTTCCCAATTATTATACAGTATCTTGTACAATATAGTTATACTGCTTACAGTATAGCATTTGGTTAATGTACTAATAAATACCCCGGTAATTACTGTATGTAGATGCTAAAGTACCTTACCCATGTAAATGAGAGCTTGTTTATTTCTTGAACTGGCTTTTTCAAGGCTGATGATTGGCTAAAAATTAACACAATAAAGTGGATTACATCAATAATACAATATCCTCCTGTGTACAGAGTATTCCAATGTAAATACAGTATTTGTAATTTAATTTTACAAAATCACCATACTGTACGCCTATCAATCAAGAAAACACTTAATTTTACAGTATTAATGTACAGTACAGTATTACAATTATATTAATATATATTACCACATACATTATAATTGAAATACTGTACACTATACAGTATTACAGCATGAAAGTGTTAAAATTACTAGTTCAATATTGCAGACTCAGCAGAAAAGTGTCCCTCATCTCAAAGAGTACAGTACAGTACAGTACAGTACTTATAGTGCTTCAAATTAATTTCAATATCTCTACAGTACCGTACTGTATAAGCTGTGCACTATCAAAGAATAAATCTCAAATTTTTATCATATTTTTGCGGGAAAATTTTCAGTCTTAAGCTTAACATTTTAATATGGTATGACAGATTCCAATTAACTTTTAAGGTAAGTTTATTTGTTATAAATTTTGGCGCCATAGGATTTTTAGGTTTAAGCGCAGGTTAATTTTGTATCAATTAAAGCTTGATTTGGCAGAAAGTTATGAACAGAGACAATGTATTTTCTCCCTCATAGGGAAGTGAGTCCATTTTAAAGTACTGTACTGTAAAGTGTGTTGTTAGTGTTGTATTATGAAAATGGATTGTGATTTCTTACCTGTGTGTCCTGGTTGACCAAATTCTTATGTACTTAACAGTAATGAGGTGATCGGTGACAATGAGCGTTACAACATTCTAAATGACGGGACACTGATGATAGAGAACACCCAGGATGGTGATGTGGGCTACTATGAGTGTATGGCCACTAACCCAATGGGTGAAGTCAAGTCCCGCAAAGCTAAAATGGTGCCTGAAGAACAGCAAGATGAAGTTAGGCATGAACAACGTAAGTCAATTCAAGTACCCTGTAATAAGTTGTATTGAATTCATCATGGTCATGGTGACTGGGGTATTGAACTACTCTATCTAGAGTCTATATTATCAATGCAAACATGGGTAAGGACATACTGTACATGAAAGCACCTTTTATATTCATGATTTTTAATAGTCACAAGAACCCCTGTAAATATGCAATCTGTGAGTTCCTCCACACAGTAAAGTGCTTATATTGACAAATTTTTTAAATTACACTTTTTTATTGTCTAAAAGCCTTTTTCCATTTCTTACCTTATTTACTGGCCACCCATTGGTGGCCATGCTGAGGGAACGAGGCCAGTGGCTTGTGTAGGATCCTTCATCATTCTTGATAATTTTGTCAAGGACTATTTTGAAGCCCAGTACTGTTCTTGATTCCACAGCTTGGGCTCTCACCCATTTTACTATCCCTTCCATTAAAATATTAAACAATTCTGATAACTATACAGTACACAGCCTTAATGTAATTCTGCTTTCTCTGGGGACCAATGTTTTTCTTCCCAATAATCCCTGAACACGTCCTTTTCAGTTTCCCTAGAAGACTTTGGAGAGCAGTCAACAATTTCCTATTTACTAAATATATTTTTTATATTTCCCATATCACTATTCTAGCTACTCTATCATATGTATTTTCTCAGGTATTGATTGATTGATTTGATTCGGTAAAATCTTCGTACAAGTTTACAATTGATTCATCATGTATACATACAGTACAATGCACATAATGTATACAGTTCAGCTTGCATATAAGCAATTCAAGTACATTGATGCTGTATACAGTGTACATAGACCATACAGGTATGCAACGTCCAGTGTATCTAGACAGTGCAGGTATACATTGTGTAACAATAAGGCATTTCAACCAATGATAGCCAACAAAGCCACCAGATGTTAATTTCCAGTTGGGACCTTTGTTTAGGCTTGATTACTAATTAGTAATACTTTTACTTTTATCCTCTTCACCACTGATCGGCCTGTTAGCCGCTTGGGCGATCGGTCACGTCTCTGATTACTTTTCCTTTTCAAGAATAAAAGTGATAATTTGCGATGAATATAACAATTACTGCATTGTGCTTATATTATCTGCTTCAACAATACAATATTCTATGGTTAATAATATAGAAAATTAATACTTTTACTGTGGCTTCATTGGCTATGTATATGCTTGTTTTAGCTTTGAACTGTTTGATAACATAATGGTTTTAATGTGAGAAGGCAAATTGTTGCAGTCCTTTATGACTGCAGAGAAGAAAGTGTTGTTGATTGACTACAGACACCAAGTACTGTATTAGATCATGAAATTGTGTTCTCTTCCCCTAGTGCCCTAACCCTTAAAAAGTTTGTTATGAGATACTATGGACACAGCCTTTGAAAACCCTAAAGGGGTGATTCAGGCTCAGAAGCTGCTCTCAACCTGCCACAGGCAGGACGTCATGAGCAATATGATCTATTGCATTCATATCCAGAATAAACTTCATCATTTTGTCTTGAATAGTTTTTAGTATGTCTTTTAAATGGTGTTAAGGCAGAGTACAGTACTGTACCATAATGAACAGGAATAGTTCAAGTTACATTGTATGAGCACTGAACAAGGGATCCTACAGGCATCAACTGAGAGACATTGGCATTTATATAGAGAAATTTTATCATCAATCCTCCACTGCTGCAAACAAATTCTTCCTTTCCTTGTCCAGATTATTTTTATTTATGCAGACAGTCGATCTACACATATTCCCTTTCTCATCTCACACTGCTCTTCCCGAACAATCTGTTTTTGGAGACACTACAACAAACTTGTTCCTCTACCATTTTTTTATTTACTTGTTACGTCTTCCTTTATGCATGGGAACTTTACATGCTCTCTGCTATTCCTTTGGTACCCTTCCTTTAAGTTGTACATACATAATTTTACTTTAAACATACAAATATGCAAATTATTGATGTACAGTATATTTTCCAATATTCACCAACAGTGTACAGTACTTAGACTCATACTACTCTTTAGTTTCAGTTCCCACAAAGCCCCGTTTCCTGCTGCTGCCAAATGATGTGAATGTGACTGAAGGATCTCCTGTTGAAATTGAATGCCAGGCATCTGGTATTCCCAAACCTGACATCACATGGACTAAAAATGATGAGCCCATAGTTGAAGGTCCAAGGATTCAGGTTGGTGAGCATTATGCATTATATCAACTAAGATATACAGGTACTGACACCTTAATTAGTAGATGTAAAGACTAAAGCCATAACTTGTTTGTCTTACAGATTGTATTTTTGTCTGTGTGTGAGTGTATTGGGTCTTCTTTTTCTGTTGGGCGTTAATGGGAAATATGTTAATATAGACATGAAAAATTTTCTTGCATTGGGAATTTTATATATTTCACTTATACTATTATCCTCTATCATGCTTACGGTACTGTCTTATTCATTCTGGATGTATTAATTATCTCTTTATGCCTGTCCTACAGTGCATAATATCTCTTCCATCCATTAGCTACTGAAGCACTGTACCCAACACTCCAACAGCCAACTTGAACATTAAGATATTATTGTAGATGTAAGCAGCAAATATTCATCAGAGTAAGCTGAATATATATCTGTTCGATAACATCACTCCTGTATGTTTCACGCACACACTGTCCTGTCATTGTTATCAAGGGGGAGGGGGTCAGAACTTTACTTGTCTCATATTTGTCTAAACTTGATCTCCACAGATGTTAAGTTGAAGTCTCTCCAACTTTTCACCATGCCTCTATACTGTATTTTCAATATGACTTTTGTTTTATACATATCCCTTATTTTTTTTATCTTTGTGACTTAAAGAATAGCAAAGGAAAAAGTAATGAGTGCACTGATAAATGTATGGCGAGAGAGAACTATATGTCAGGAGGCATAGATGATGAGGTAAAGGGGAATTATTGAGTCTAATTTATTATATGGGTGTGAAACATGGAACTAAGATACAAGAAAGAGCAGATTAGAAGCTACAAAGTTGATGTGTTGGGTGAATAGGATGTCAGGCATGAGAAATACAGAAATAAGGAGATGTGGAAATAAAAAAAGCATCTGACAGAGAGTGGATTAAGGTGAAGCTTTTGGAATAACCTGTCATTGTATGTTGTGACAGCACTGAGTGTGAGCTCATTGAAGACCAGACTTACCCACAGTGCTTAAAAGAGACTTAATGACTGCCTGACTCGCTAGTGAGCTGACCAGGGGTGAAGAGTATATGAAGGTTCCTCAGGTGGTAGACATATTGAGAAAATTTAATTGAAAGATTGGAGTAAAAATATTAATTCAGAGGTGGATGGCAGGAGGGAGAAGAGAAGAGCAAGAGTATGGAGATGTAGGGTGAAGGATGCACTGGATGTGAGAGGATATGACATCTAGGAAACAGTAGTGTACATGTAGACCTCGGATTGATTTCTTCTACAGATATCTAGTCGTGGAGCCTTCTCGGTCTCGTCGGCAATACGAAATGATTCTGCACTTTATCGTTGTACTGCAGCTAATCACCTTGGACGAATTGCTGCTACTGCCACTCTAAGAGTTTTGGGTAAATATATTTTTCCACTTAACTTTGTACATGATTAGTTGCAAACAATACAATTAATTATTGGTATGTTGTCATAACCTCACTTCTGTGTAAATAACTGTCTAATATAATCACAGCAGGACACCATTCTTCCCCAACATTCATAATTTCTATATGTATTTTCACATCCCAGCAACAACAACCAAAGTAATTGCTGGAAAATTTTGCTCTATTATACTGTTTATTTACCTAGAAATGAACATCATTGCTTAAATGCAAAGATTGAGGAGTACATGGGCTATGGGCTAGTTACTGGTGGTGTTGGATTGAAAACTCTCTCTCTCTCTCTCATATATATACAGTTGGGTCTCACATTACGCGGTTAATGTAACCCGGAGGGTACCGCGGAAAGTGAGGAAGCAAAGTGAACAACATAACATATGGGATTAATTGAAATGGAGTCCAGGCCGATCCCCAAACTCCACTTTTTGACGACACACAACTATGTTGTAGTAAAATATTATCTTTATGATGGCATACACACACAATTAATAATTAAGAGAAATATCAATAATATTAGGTTTTTTAACACTTACATTAGTAGAAAAGATGGCTGGGCACACAGGGATGGGCGGTTGGTTCGAGGCAGAGGGCAGATTATTGGCCTCACCTGTGTCACTTGTATCAATTGTATCACTATCCACCACAGAGGCTTGCAGGCCTCTTTGTCAAACCCCCCAAAGTTCATACAAGTCCATATCCTCACTATAATTATCACTATCACTGACTTGGGCCGGCTGTAGTGGGTGGCGGGTGAAGAACTGGTAATGTTTTGATGACTGGGCCACCTTTTGCGCACCATTTTCGCCTCTACACAACATGGCGGATGGCGGGAGGTTTGGATCCAAAATGACACAGCTTGCCAGCCGCCCTCTGCAGAATGGGGTTCAATCATCATGAATGTGAGCATGTTAGGTTCGCAGGGCAACCGCTAACGGTGAACAGCAGAATGCAGACCGTAATGAGGTTGACTGCATATATA